CATATAGGCATTAGAGACCCAATTTCTTTAACGCTTACCTACAGAAAACAGGATTTGAGCTCAGCCTGTGAGAAGTATCCTATCCCAGCTACGCTTGTCACCATTGGTGGTTGCTTATTCTCCATCTTCTTGCAGAGGGATTTATGAACCAAGTTGTTGCGTTGCATTCTTACAGTAAGAAAAAAGACAGTCACTGTAGCAAACAGATAGCTTCTACCCAACCCCAGTGGCAGAAAAGCACGCTATATTGCCGGAATTTTTGCAAATACTACATTACCTGTAGCACGGTTAAACAGGCAAACATAGCAGCATGGGTTAGGAAAGTCAAAGCTTACATTTTTTTTTTGTTAATTTACAGTAGTGGTACCCTACAATGCAGTAGTACCCACCTATTCTATATGCTCAAATATGGATTGTGATAGCTTCAGCTCCATGCTGAAGGGTCTCCAGAGCAGTCTCAAGTAGACCTGCCTGGACTCCAGCATGCTAAAAAAAATGCATAGATCTGGCAGTGCTTTACAACTAAGCCGCTTTCATAGCCTTTATGCCTGCAAAACACTGTTTCTGCAGCTTTGACCATGGATCCAGACTTGTGATACAGCTACCATAGTTTTGGTAGTGCTGCAGTGTGAGACAAAGGATGGGAACTCCCCGCACACACACACACACACACACACACACGCACGCGCACACGCACACGCACGCACACACGCACGCACACACTCCCCCCCCCCCCCCCCCCCCCCCCCACACGCACATATGTGCGCATTCATGCGCTTGTTCTCATTTATCATAATCTTGTATTTTGAAAGCAGTTACTTCCAGATGGAGCTCATTTAAGTCTCTGTCTCTGTAGAAGTCAGCCAACTCTAACCGTTATTTCATTGCCAGGTTGTCACAAATGCCCATGCAACCCTTTCTGCCAAGGACTAATAGTCAGTTGCTGACATGATATTCAGTTCCTCTGCCATTAAGCAACCTATGCAGGGGAAAAAAAAATTGAACAATGTTAAAAGGGCTAGAGAAAAATCTCATAGCCTGCAATTTCCTTTCATTATGTACAGTTATATCAAATTGTTGAGCTGATGTAATATATAATACGAGGTACTTTCATGAAATTATCTCTCAATGTCTCAAAAAAAAAAAAGAAGTCTAGGAAAATGGCTTAGTTTTTTTTTCTCCAAACCTATTTTAAATAGTTTTACTCCCAGTTGATTATAACCACTGCACTGTAGGCTGATGCTGAAGTCTGCTTCAAACAAGTCATTATGTAGCCTCACCAATTTCTTAGTGTCTTCTGATCTCTCAGGACTGAGCTGTTAGCTGTCAGTGAAGATTAAATAAAAAAAAAAAAAAAAAAAAAAAGAGCAAGAGCAAGCGAGAGTATGTGCATTGCTTTTGCACTTGCATTGCATGCACAAGTGAAACCAGGCCAAAATGAGTTTTGCGGTGAAGTCATTTCTGTGGCTGAGAGATGAGACGTCAATCTGTGATTTCTGCTACAAATCACCCCCTCCCCCAAAACAGTCCACACCAGTTCTGCAAGCATGGGAAGCAAACGAATCTTTGTTTACTGTGCATTGGCACAACCCCCCTCCCCCCCAACCTGTTAAATTTGTCCTCCTGCATAGCTTTGCTAGTCCCTAAAGCCCTAGGAGCACAACCTGCAGCTTCTCGCTGCCTCTGTGGTCACTTGATGCCACAAAACTTCCAAAAGAAAGCACTCTGGTACCTGACAAAGTAAATCAAGCTACAGCTTGTGCAGTGACTGTGGAGTTAAGGCTGAGACACTTACACACACACACACACACACACACACACACACACACCCCATGATCACATATATCTCATTCCCATGAAACCAGCCTGAAATCAGCCAGAAGAAACAAATGAACAACAGCCAAAAAAAAAGCAACAGATTTAGATTTTTTTTTTGTGACACCTGTTTATTCAGCCACAACAATCTACAATTGAATGAAGTGCACAGCACTAGAAAAATACTGTAGGTTCACAAAACTAAAAAGCAGCTGAGAAAAAGGTAGACCCCTTTTCCCCCCCATTTGTATATCATACATGAAATACTTCAAAAGGCACCAAATTCAGTCCTAAAACCATTTCCATTATTACAAGCTTTCAGTGAGGGTAACTATTTGCTTTAGTCTTAAAATTTAGAAAACACTGAAACTAAAGTAGGGTTTAGAACAGAAATTTCTGGGGGAAACAGACATTCAGAAGAAATGTACAGGAGTAACTATTAAGGGATATGCTAACTCCTTAGCACATGACCGTGATAGGTGAAGAAGTTTTTAATCTGTTTAGACAGTATCAGTACAAGTTGGCATTTCTCTAGAATGGCAATCTTGTTCTTCTTAACGCACTTAAATAGAAACCACTGACACTG